CAAGACTGTAGATTCTCATATATAAGATCCTCATAAATCAGGTAACTAGCGGTGAAAAAGAAATTGGTCTAACTGCATGTGGATACAAATTTATGATTAAAAAATGGATTTTTAATTTAAATATATTTTATGTTTAAAAATAAACCTATTTAAAATTAAATTTGAAATTATGACAACTGATATTATGATCAACACTTAAATATTATTATTCTTTTAATAGTTTATAGTAAGGAATATGTGTTCATTCCAAAGTTTTAAAGAAAGTCAAACCACTGAATTGAAGGAAGTCAATGGCTAAGCACCTGTAACCAGAGTTTGTTGAAGTGCTAAAACCAACTTTTGACAGCATTAACTTCTGCAGGGGCAGAGAGACTATTTCCTTAATTTCAGTTTTCCCAATAAGGACAGTTCATTAATTCATTCAAAGCTGAGAAATTGAACGGGAGTGGAAAAAAGCAGGAAAACTTGAGGTGAGAGAGGTAGATATCTACTAGATCTAAAATCATGGAGACCAGAAACAATCAGTTCAATTCACTAACCAAAGATAATACTTACTTTGTTTAATAAGTCAGTTAGTTTGAAATGCAAAACATGTTTTAAATAAACTTTTTTCTTATGTATCTAGCTTATTTAAAGTAATTCTAACAGTTTTAAAATCCTGGTTTTGTGCATTTTTAAATGAATTCCAACTTCCATCCAAATGCAGATCAAAACAATTCACAAGTTAAAAAACCAACCAACTTGTAAATAGTAAATGCATCACTGACAATTGTCTAACATAAAAATGCAAAATTAAGAATTTAAATATATGTATGTTAAGCTATATAACTGCTTCAGTGTATAGATAAAGTGAATCCACTTTGTCTGCAAAAAGTACCAAATTTAGTGTAAAGGCTATATTTAGTTGCAAATCAACATGTTTTAACGGTTACCAAGCAATGAAAATGTATCTTTTTTGGGAAAATAACTAAAAAGTACTAATACAGCACAAGATTACATTATTTAAATCAAAGTTTCCTGTATGCCTCTTAAAATCAGTGATTTTAATCAATCCACCCTGACCTAAACTGTATTAACAGAAAACAAAAAACACGAAAACTAAGGCCTTGGCTACACTTACCCGCTAGTTCGGCGGCTGGCAATCGAACTTCTGGGTTCGACTTATCGCGTCTAGTCTGGACGCGATAAGTCGAACCCGGAAGTGCTCGCCGTCGACTGCGGTACTCCAGCTCGGCGAGAGGAGTACCGCGGAGTCGACGGGGGAGCCCGCCTGCCGAGTGTGGACCAAGGTAAGTTCGAACTAAGGTACTTCGACTTCAGCTACGTTATTCACGTAGCTGAAGTTGCGTACCTTAGTTCGAATTAGGGGGGTAGTGTAGACCAAGCCTAAGTAAATATGTCTGTAAACCAGATTCAGAAGTGTGGAAACTGATCAGTTAAATGCATGCAGACAAGAGAAGGATCAACATGAGCCTTGTGCATATTAATCGAGAAGCATTTTCCTAAATTCCTTCAGAGTGACAAGGGGAAAGTGAGACATCAAAACATTCTCCACCATCTCAAGTGCCAACCTGTTGGGTACCAAGATTCCAGATTGAGATCTAAAAAGATGCTCTAGTTCCACGTGATCAAAGCAGGCAAGAACCTCACTCCAATAGGACTGGCTACTACCATCCCCAGCTCGGAGCATGCTGTCTCTCACCCAAAAAGGAAGCTCTGAAAAATATCCTTGAAACTTTGGTGACTCCTGTACTTGGTTAGAACCATTACTACTTTATAAAGTGGAATAAAAGGACCATGTGAGTTCTTCATCAAAGGAGAGAGAATTTGTGCATTGCCTCTGTGGTCTGCACACTACCATTTTGCAAAACAACTGGCAGTTGTGTGTGGCAAATAGACTTCTTAGATTTACTTCATAAGCCCCAGATCTAAGAATCACTTGTGAGGGACTATTTTCAGTTTGCTGAACTTGTGCCATTGTCATCTCCGTTTCTCCCAGGAAAAGGCAGCTAAGCATGTCTTATGGGGCATTGCCCAGGTCCTCATCACATGGACCCTGACAGAGATAACCTGATCCACTCTTCCTACATAAATTATCACAGACTGATTTCTGATGTCTTTTGGGACATGTAGTCAACAATGCTTCAGACACATACAGGGTTATCCTCGTCTTCAGGATACTAATATAGTTTAGATTTCTAGGGAGGCAATGAGCTGAGTGTGGAACCTCCTTCTGTACACACTACCCTTCACTCAGTGGATTCGTATACGGCTAATACAATATGTACTGAAGAAATATGGAAGTCTCTCTTAATTATAAATTGTTCTCGCAATGCCACTATGTCAGAGTATCTCAGGGTGTTTATTACTCAGATGTGGCAAGAGACTGGGTGACTTGTGATCAACTGGGATATCAGGCCGAACCCAGGTTGCCTTGCTTGGTGGCATCTCACAGATACCACACCACAGTTCAATGACCATCTTCTGACTCAATACCTGCAGTACAGTCAGGCTCTGGTAAATGATCCTGTCACATTCTTGCAAAGGGAATGAAGGCTTTCATGTCTTATAGGGCTCCTACTCTCTCTCGAGGACAAGAAGTGATATGTAGTTTTAGCTTTTTACTATAAGCCTTTGAGACTTAAGCACCCTATTTGCGGCATGGATCAATACTTTGCTCTTTCAAGATGTTGCCCTTGGCTAAGTTGCCAAGACAAAAAACACATGCACTTACATTATGTATGGATATGCTGCTATAGCCACTAGGGATCTTAGGTTATGTGGGGGTTGATTTCATCCCCAAACTCTTTCTGCTGCTGCTGTTTAAGTAAACTACAGGAAGCACCAGGGAACAGCTTGCTGTCTGTACACCAAGTTCTATGGCACTGAAGCCTGATTTCTCCAAAGTCCAGGATTCCATGACACCACAGCTTAGTTAGGTATCCCTCCACTTTGAAGGGAGAATGGGAAGGAAATTCCATAAAATCAATCTTCCACATATACATTGGGCCTTTTTCCTTTCACACCGGAAGGATAGAATGGGCCCTAAATTAGTTGTTCTTGAGAAATAATCTAGAGAAGTAAATCCTCTGTGATGCTGTATGGAATCTGGGGGACACTTGAGGATATTATGAAAATCAAATTGTAAAACTGTAATGAGTTTTGCCAGATAGGCCATGTAAGGTATCTGCAAAAATGTTATAATTTGCCAGATATGATAATCTCATTTCTGTGTTTGCATCACCTTTGTATTACGAGTTATAGATATGTATGTCTGTCTGCATTTTAAACTTGGGCTATGCTTCTGGGGGACACCCCCAGACAGTTTGGGCATCAGCTCCGCCTAGTCTGCTTGATGGACCATTAAGACCATCAGCTATACAGGTGACCCATTGAGAGAAGTCAGATACACCTTATAACTCAGCAAGGCATACAGGGGCATGCCTATGGACAGAACTCTACGGCTTTCAGGCCATGTGCTGGGCAGCTTCTGTTTGAAACAAAGGAAGCAAAGGCAGCATGGCAAAAACAATATAAAAGGCACCTGCATCTTCTCCATTTTGTCTTCAACTCTGGAGGAACTTTGCTACAACCTGAAGCTCTGAATAAAGGACTGAATGACCGATCCAAGCTGTGGATGTATTCCAGAGGGCCTTTCAAGCCAGTAAACTCACCAATACTGCAAGGATCCTGATATATGGACTTTGAAGGCTTTGTATGTATGTGACTATTTTACCATTTAACATCTCTCTTCTTGTTCTTTTTCTTTATAATAAACCTTTAGTTTTAGATACTAAAGGATTGGCTGGCAGCGTGGTATTTTGGAGAAGATCCAAACCTATACTGACCTGGTAATATGGCTGAGCCTTTGGAGTCAGAAGAACATTTTGTATATGCGAGTAGAGTTTTAAAATAACTTCTCACTGTACTGGACCTAGGTGCTGATTGGGAGTCAGAGACTGGACTGAAACAAAGGGAGCTTTGTGATTTTTTCTTCTTCTTCTTGATAACCAGTATGGGGGATTAGAAACACAGTTTGTGACTGGTTGGGGAGTTTAAACTGCAGTATTACCCACCAGTCTTGGGAAGATTTGCTCTCCCTTTTGCAGCCTGCCCTGACCTTGCCATTTCCAGTGAGGGCTGCCCCAAGCACCACTGGGTCACATCCTCAAGTTGACTACATTTTAAGAATCTTGCTGTTTATCAATATCATAAGTACTATACTAAAGATATTACACAGAAACAATTTTTGTACCATTACAGTTCAGAATCTAAATTAAAATATGGTAATTAAATACTACTTTGAAATAAAGGATAAAAGTTCTATATTTAACAAATGACATGATATATTAACCATTATCCTAAATAGTGGTATTCTATGCCATGTATTTTCTTTATTAATGTTTAAATCAATAAAAACACAAACTTACCTTTGGATATATTATTGTATCCAGAATATTTGTATTCCATACAACTGGCTGCTTTTAACATAATGCAACTGTCAAAGGTGTAAAGATATACATGCAATTTTGTAGATGCAATTCTGTTATTCAGAAGAATGGGCTCTGAATATTGGGGTTTGCTTCTTCTTTATTTTCCTTACTATATGTTACCTACCTCCTTAAGGCTTAAGACTGGAGTGACGTTTCTAATTTGATGTATCTTTCTAAAGTGGGTTTTATATACATGCAATACATTTCAAGCATGCATTATGCTAATTGTTTTTATTTTGGGATGTGAAATAAAGCCTTGGAGGAGGCTGTTATTTCAGTGCATTATGTCATGCACATCAAGACTTGAGTGGTCTTTACTCACTGAGGAGAGAAAAAGACACTATAGGCCTACAGCCACCCTGAACGCAGGAGAGGATGTTGTGAGCATACAGCAGTTATTTTTTCAATCTGAGCACTAAATATGCTTTAGTTGCCAGCTTTCAAGACCTTGATTTCTACAAGAGTAGCAAGCAAAGAACGAGGAAAAGTGAGAGGATAACCCAGCACCTGTTTCTCTCCACCCGAGTTTCCAAACGTGTGGCGGAAGCCATTCTGAATGACATTTGAGATCCCTTCCATGCTGAAGCGCTAAAGATAGCAAAAACATGGCAGAAAAAGAAGGGGACAGAGAAACAAGTTCAAAGACTATTAGTGAGCATTTACCCAGACAACGTAAGTAAGATGAATGCCAGAGACAAGCTGTTAGAATGTGTTACAATATATTTTAACATGTCTGTTTGCTGATCATATGCAGAAGAAAGCTTTTATAGAGGGGTTTATGATTAATAAATATGAACAACCATATAAATTAAAAAAAACTGACCTGATTTCATAAAATTTTTTGCACAGAGTCAGAGGCAAAAAACTTTATATGGCAGACCACATGTTTATACATAAGTACATCCACTTAGTCTAGATTTAAACATTTTTTAAATAAGAACTAAGATTTTAAAATATATTAAGAGTATCTGAAATACTGTAAATAGGCTGATAAAGATCTTCATAGTTTATTTCAGAGACAGCCCCTCTTATAAAGTTATTATTCAAACACTATCATATTTAAAGGTACACTGCTGACATTTAATATTTTTATGAAGTCCGATGGAGTATATACACTACCAATTAAAAATGTTTTATAAAAATTACTTTTACATTATTCTACTAAGAATTTTATGCTTTTGTATTTCCTCTGCTACAATAACAGCAACAATTAACCACAGTAATAATTAACTGTATTCCCATAATTATGCGGATATCAAAAATGCACAAAGTTAGTTAACTAAGCAGCTATATTAATTTCAAGCTCCATTAGAAACACGTGGAAGCCAAGTAAAAATAATCAAAATGTATCCTACCAAATCTGTCCTTTCGTTATTTTCATTCCACTCTTGTTTACTCAAGGAAAGAAGTTTAACAGATCCACACTTCTGAGACTCAGTCTCACACATGAAATTCAGAAGCTGACAAACTAAAAAGTAAGTAACCCCAGGATATTCATAGAGAGCTGTGATTTTATATAAATATAATGTTACACGTGTACATTTCCCTGCATTTAATTTTTTTAAAGGAAGAATTAAATGCTATGTTAATACAATGTTAAGTTTGTAAATTTAACACACAAAATTCAGGAAATGAAAAAGTGAAGGCTCTCAAAGGCACCTTAATGCGCTTTCTTGGAATATACTAAAATATTTTTGTGATTCTAGGCACTCCTGTATCCATATCATACAGACTACTGCAATAATATTTGTACAAAATACGTCATGAGGTATCATATGAAAGTTAATAACATGCTGGTTATTAATAGAATTGTGAAATCCATGTGTTAACCTCATATGTGAAGTTATGAATTCCCTTTGTCTGATGTTACTAAAAATGTTTGAGACCAGACAGCTTAGCCTAGGTGAAGGTGATAAACATGCCTGTCATAGACAAAGGAATGTGGGTTTACCTCAGTATACATACTGGCAGTAAACAAAGCCATCGAGCTAAACTGGTGGGGGTTATCCTGAACTCGAGAGACATTGAATTAATATGGCTCATTCACCCCAGAAAAACACATGAGATTGAATCCCTAGAAGGGCTTCCTGACTTGGAAGACATCCCTTTGGAGATGTAAGGAACAGAGACAGACTCCATCTTTATCCTTCACCCTAAGCCATTTGATCTCCATGATGGGTCCTAGCCAGCCCGGCCAGTAAAAGCTGAAAAGGAGACTGTGGGTGAGAGAAACCATCTTGAACAAAGACTGCATCATGCTACATTAAGTATTAGTCTTTTAGATGTGTGGTTTCACTTTTATTTTCTTGTAACCATTTCTACCTTTATCCCTTTTATCTGGTATCACTTAACCCATGGCTCACTTGTAATAAACTTGTTTTCTTTCATTATAAATCATCAATGTTGTGTACTTCAGTAAAGTGTGTGCTTCTAGAAAGCTAATAGGTTGGAGTGTTTTATTGTCTCTGTAAAGACAGTGAACCTATCATTTCTCTGGCAGGGTCGAGTGAGATAGACTAGTCTCTGCAGTAGGATGATTTTGGGACAAATATAGGACTAAAAGGGTACTATGGTCAGCTTGCAAGGAGCAATCAGGTTGGGCAAAGCTAGGGTGAGGCTTGTGGGCTGCTGGGGTCAGAGCCCTAACCTAGATCAAAGCTACACAGTCACAATGAACCCAGGATTACATGGCAGATGGTGACTGAGCCTGGGTGAACGCCAGAACATCACAATTTTACATCTTCAAAGTCCTGAATGAACATTAAACTACTCTTCACAGTACTTTTGTTAAGTAGGTTAAAAAAACCTTTATATTCATTTTATAGTTCAAGAAAACAAAGAGCAAAGCGATTTGCCCAAAGTCGATCTGTAAGTAAAGGGCAAAATGGGAATTAGAATATTTGATTACTACTTATCTTGTTAAATATTTGGTTTCAAACACATCTGCAATGGAATTATTCTTGCTACAGTAAGAAAGACTTAATATTTCCAGTTTTCGTCTTTACATATAAAATACCATTGCACTACTGAAGACTTTTGCGTTTTAACAATAGTAGACACTTCTTTGCTTTCCACACAAAATTGCTTGAACTTGCAATTTGAAAATACACTTTTGAAAACTGACCTATTTGTTTAGCTGCCTATAAAAAAAGTTACGTGATTAACTTTATGTAACCATTTAAACCTAGGCCTAGGATCCTGGACATATGTAACAATCTATATTTAAACATCTCAACCGAAGTAGGTTTTTCAAAGGTGATTAACTCCTGCAGTCTTCATTACCATCAATGGAATCTGGGGTTGCTCAACATCTCTGAAAAAGCAGGCCAATTCTACTTAGATGTCTAAATATGTATTTAGGAGCCTAACTTTAGGCAACCTAGTTTGAAAATGTCCTATATCAGGGGCTGCATACCTACATGTAGAAGTGTCAAGTCCATTTATTTGAAACTCCAAAATTGAATGGTTTGAGCCACCCCATGTCATTATTTTTCTCTTTATAAAAGTTAATTTAAAATACCACCTTTTGCTATCCCATGATAAAAAAAAAAAAAAAAAAAAACCAACAAGGAGTGCATTTTCTATAAGCTTTTAACTGAATTTCCAATATCACTCAGTAAAAACAAGCTAAACCTATTTTATACAAGGAATTTATTCCTTACACATGCTGTTTCTTTTTGAGATTAGAGTTTTCCTAAATTTACTGGTGTATAAAGAGAGTGACTTTTAATTATGTTTGGTATAGTCTTTCAAATTTTAGTCATTTACATACAATTCTCTTAATACCCTTGCTTAAAAACAATGATAATGTTCACCCTCTGATCGGTCTTGCTTATGTCACAAAGACAAGCAATTCTTTCCCTTAAGCTTCAGCTATTCTCCTCTAAGGGTTTGTCTACACAATTTTTGTACTGATTTAACTATACCTGTTTAGATACGGATATAGTTAAAATCTGTGCAACCCTTAAAGTGGATATAGATATGCTGATAAGAGTATTTATATTAATTATAACTTATTTTGGTAAATCTGCAGATATTCAGATTCTAGACAGTCCAAGGTTTCATTAAAAAAAAATTCTATCCTTTATGCTTGGAAGACAGTCTTCTCAATTCAAACTTAAGTAACTCTTTCTAGAACTGAAACAAGAACGTCAAGAAAGATGTGAACTGCCCCGCATTCATCTCACATATGTTAGCTGAATCCTAAATAAGACACTTACAAGGTCTAAAAATGCAGACAGGCAACTGAGCGTGCAGTATGCACATACAATCCCATGCTTGTCAGTACAACAAAGCTTAAGAACTACCACTTTTCAATATTTTTAAATTAAGCTGTTTCAGAATTAAAGAGTATCTTGTTTAGTCAAATAAAATAATTATTTGAAGAAAAGAGAGACCATGTACTAATATCACACATCACAATTTATATCACTTAAAAGCAACAGGAGACGTGTGACTGAATATCCCAGTTCCATATCCCCTGGGAAGAAAGGGATCTGAGAATTAGAGGCCAAGATGGCACACAGTGGACCCAGAGGTCACAAGATTGATTCTTGGGAGGTATCCAAATAATTTATTTGCTGTTCAGCTGCTGAATCTCATTCCTGAGGATAAAACCCAGAATAGTGGATCTAGATATCTAACTTCCTTCAAGGAAGGCTACAAAATATATACTCACTTATGCTGGTCGCCTCTGAAATAGTTTACTACTCAATGAAAAATTAATATATATCCCTTGATGAAAGGTGGATCCCTTACTCAATGCAAACAGAGTTTACAAGCGTGCTGCTTTAAATTTGTGTTCGGTTAAAGGGTCAGTGCGCCAACATTATTATTTACCCTGTTCTTCTTTACAGTGGCTAACATTATTGTGATATAAAACCCTTCATAATCTATGACCTAAGTAGTAAAGCAGTTGAACCCTATGAACCTTCCCAGTAGTTACAATTGCTTTCTGTCCTTGTACACAGTGAAGTCCAGACAATTTTCAGCCAATGGCATGATACAAGTCCCATTATTTTCAGCACCCTCAACCTTGTTCTCTTTTCTGTTTGTAACCCTCTTTTCGCTCCTATTCTTTGAAGAGGGTTGCCATATAAAAAGTCTGCATTTGTCAACTATTCCCAAACATCAGGGGGTAGCCGTGTTAGTCTGTATCTACAAAAACAACAAGGAGTCTGGTGGTACCTTAAAGACTAACAGATTTATTTGGGCATAAGCTTTCGTGGATAAAAACCTCACTTCTTCAGATGCATAGAGTGAAAGTTACAGATGCAGGCATTATATACTGACACATGGAGAGCAGGGAGTTACTTCCCAAGTGGAGAACCAGTGTTGACAGGGACAATTCAATCAGGG